ATATTCAGATTCAAGCGACGAACAGCAACGTGGCAACTACATGAGATCCGAAGTATTTCGCGGAAGATTTGCACCTTTGAAAAAAGCTGTTTGTTGTGCCAGTACTTTTAAAAATCGAATTTATTATTTAGAAAAATTGCCTGCTTCGCGTCACCTGCAATGAATAAGTACATCACAAATTCGGCAAACTAATGTTGCCCTAGTTTCCATGATGATGTTTTTGTTCCTCTGAAAAAGGGATTATATATGTGATGCATTGTCGAAACGGATAATATTTCGACAACTAGTGGTAGACGTATACAGCAGACCTTAAATAAGCAATAAAATCGTAAATGCTACATTTCCGTCCGTTCTGGAATGATGCTTTAAAGGATTTTAACATAATTATTTTTTCTTAATATATATTGATAATGCCATTCGTGAAAATTGCGCATTCTGAAATATTCTGAAATGAAAAGAATAAATGCTGCAAAAGTGCGTACTGATAAATTTTAAATTGATTAAATTGCTTTTGCAGTAAATTTAATGATTGTATGGCTTTGAATCAAACTTGTGACTCAGTATGGACACTGCATAAACGTACAACTGTCGTATGGTTAAAAAAATTTAAGGCTTGCCCTCTGTACCAAAATCTTATTCTTAACAGGCTCATGCAACGTAAGTGTACGAATATTGTCTCAGAACAAAACTGGGAAAATTGAACTTTCTTGCATGGGTAAGAAATAACTAAATTCAAGCCTCTGGATCGAGGATAATGACTGATACCCTTTAAACGAGGCTTTACTGTTTCTGTATATTTGATGATAGAGGAAGTTTTTGTTTTAATGCATGAGTATTCGTGCGAATTTCAAACATGTCCCCTTCACTGAAAGATACCTGCAAACAGAGAAGGAAGAACATCTAATACCTGGAGTGGTGGCAGCGTAGTGGACCAGAAGTACCTGCAGGTTGACTGACCGATGGCTGACCGGTTGGTGATGAGCCAGGCGATCGCGGTCTTCCGCGGACGGATTGGTATGAACAAGAGGAAAAGGGTGCATGAGCACAGGCGCGCCATAACAGTTGCGCTGTCGCCCGTGGAAGAGACGTGAGGAGCGCAGTTGTGGTAAGTGGCGGCAGCAATGCGGCGACTAGACACCAAAAAACTACTCGACCACTGCGAAAGTAGGCTGCTGCAGAGCGGAATCAAGAGTCGTGAAGTGGCGTAATTCGTCAGTTGACCGAGAACCTCGCTCGTACCCGTCGACCGACCATTTAACTCATGATGCAATTAATAGAGACATGTGAGCAGAC